TTCGTGCAGAGGGTGAAGAAGTTACAGGAGGAGTGGATGGTCTTGTGGAAGAAGCCGCAGGGCGAGAACATGAAGCAGGTCATGCAGCTCAAGTCGTACATCAGCGAAGAGACCGCTCGCGCGTTCATGCTGACATCCTTGGACTTGTACGCGAGTGGCGAGGTGGACAAAGCGACGCTGGAGGAGCACAAGAAGACGTACTTCAAGGATCACGGCAGGAAGACTGGCAAGAAGGCCGCCGAGAAGCCCGCGATGCAGGAGCCGACGGCGACGGCCGACATCGACAAGCAGCCCGAGGCCGACCGCGACAAGGAGCCGATGATGCTGAAAGCGAAGCCGAAGAAGGGCAAGAGGGTCAAGGACGAGCTCGCGGACATGGGGGTCATCGACGGGCTCGGGGCCGCGCAGGAGCCCGGCGGCGCGGCCGTGAAGACGGAGGTCGCCGTGAACAACGAGGCCTCGAGGAAGGGCGAGCTGATCGTGCACGCGGGTGCACCCCCGACGGAGCCGCCCACGGACAAGACGAAGGCGCGGGGGGCTGGCGACGGGTGAGGAAGGGGGAGGGCGGGGGCTGACGAGGAGGGATGAAGGAGGAAGGACGAGGACGAGGTGTAGGAGCAGATAAGGGGGATGAGGACATAAGACGGAGAATCAGGAGGAGGATGACCAGGAGTCGGATGAGGTAAGGAGGAGGAGAAGGACGACGAAAGGAGGAGAAGGACGACGATGTCGAGGGATGAGGGGTAGGACGGATGATGAGGACAAGGAGCAGAGGAGGAGGAGGAGGAGGAGGAGGAGGAGGACGAGGAGAAGGAGGGGGGGAGGAATAGGAGGAAGAGGAGGAGGAGGAGGAGAAGGAGGAGGAGCGACAGAAAGAGAGAGAGAGAGAGAGAGAGAGAGAGAGAGAGAGAGAGAGACAAAAAAAGGAGAAAAATAAACACATGCGCGGGGGAGGTTAGGAAGAGAGAGAGAGAGAGAGAGAGAGAGAGAGAGAGAGAGAGGAGGGAGAGATGAGAGAGAGAGAAGAGAGAGAGAGAGAGAGAGAGAGAGAGAGAGAGATAGAGAGAAGAGAGAGAGAGAGAGAGAGAGAGAGAGAGCGAGAGAGAGTGAGAGAGAGCGAGAGAGGGAGAGAGAAACAAACAAAACAAAGAGGTGGTCGTCGAGCAGCCGCTCAAGCCGACGCTGGCTGCGAAGCGGCCTTTGGAGAAGGCGACCGCGGGGGGATGCTCGGGGAGGAAGAGGAGGAGGAGGAGGAGGAGGAGGAAGAGGAGGAGGAGGAGGAGGAGGAGGAGGAGGAGGAGGAGGAGGAGAAGGAGGAGGAGGAGGAGGGGGAGGAGGAGGAGGAGGAGGAATTGGCCCCCCCCCTGACAGGCGAACGCAAGCACGGGCACCAAGCGACCGAGGCAGGGCGAGGACATCGGCGTTCCTGGTGGCCTCTTCGACGACTTCGGCCTCTAGGTGGGGGCCGACACTGATTCCCAGTGGCCTCTAGGCGGGAGGGGAAGGCGGAGGGAGTTGGGTTTGGGAAATGGGCGGGTGGGGGAGGGATGGGCGGGATGGACGTGGGGCAAGGTGGCGGGGAGGGCGTCGGAGCACGCCGAACAGGCCAGCAAATGCTCAGTCGCAGGAGTCGTTGCCTGGCAGCAGGGCGCCGCCGCTCGCTTCTTTTCAAGAGTGGCCCTCGCGCGTGCGTGCCCCCTCGCTCGGCCGCCAGAGACCTCGCCCAGCTCTACATCTCATCTTCCTGATCCCCCCCCCCATCCTCCTGCTCATCTTCCTGCTGCTGCTGCCCCTCCTCATCCACCTCATCCTCGAGGCGGAGAAGGAGGAGGAGGAGGATGATGGGGGAGGAGGAGGAGGAGGCGGAGGAGGAGGAGGAGGAGGGGGAGGATGAGGAGGAGGAGGAGGAGGAGGAGGAGGAGGAGAGGGGGGAGGAGGACGAGGGAAAAAAGAGGACGAGAAAAGGGAGGGCGAGGAGGGCGGCGACGACGTCGACGTCGACGTCGACGAGGAGGACGAGGAAGAACACATCCTCACACACCATCCTCTGCGAAGCTCCACCCTCTCGTCACTCACCTGTGCTGGCCCCGCGAGGCGTGGCTCTCTCTCTGTCTCTAGCTCTTTCGTGAGAAGAGCGCTGCTCTCTCGGGAGAACAGGGCTGCGCTCTGGGGAGAAAGGGCTGCCCTCAGGAGAAACGTGCTGCCCTCGGGAGCAAAGCGCCTCCTCCCCCTCCTCCTCCTCCTGTTCTCCCCTCTCCTCCTCTCGCTCTTCCACCTCTCCGACCTCCCGCCCCGCCCCTTAAATCAGCCCTCAGCCACTGCCTCTCCAGCCGCCCACAGGCGCGCGGCGCCTGTCGGAGCGGTGCGTCGGCGGCTGGCGTCGGGCGCTGGTGTCGGGTCGGTGGCCTCTCGCGCGGCATCTTGAAAACCCGACGCCGCCGCGGGTCGACCCAGGCACCGCGGTGGATCGGCGCCAAGGGAGAGCCCGCGGGAAGCGTCGGATTCCCAGGAGAGGCGGGGTGGCGAGAGGATGGACGGGAGGGAGGAGTTAGAAGAGGAGGAGGAGGACAATAATGATTAGCCAACACACCCTCCAATGCTGCAATACACTGGCCAATGCTGCAATGCGCCCGATGTCAATGCGCTGCAATGCACCCTCCAATGCTGCAGTGCACCCATCCAGCTTCAAGCCCCATCGTGGCATTAGAACGCTTTGGTCCAGAGCAGTCCCATATGCATGCTGCAGCGCATCCTTCAATGCTGCAATGCAGGCTCTCTGTAGGGGAGGGGCAGGGGCAGGGGGGGGGACAATAATGATTAGCGAAGACCCTCCAATGCTGCAATACACTGGCCAATGCTGCAATGCACCCGATGTCAATGCGCTGCAATGCACCCTCCAATGCTGCAGTGCACCCTCAAGCTTCAAACCCCTCATGGAATTGGAACGGTCTGGTCCAGAACAATCCCAAGCGCGGGCTGCAATGCACCCTCCAATGCTGCAGTGCACCCTCCAACGCTGCAGTGCGCCCTCCAATGCTGCAGTACACCCTCCAACGCTGCAGTGCACATTCCAATGCTGCAATACACCCTCCAATGCTGCAGTGCACCCTCTAGCTCCTAGCCGCCACCGCGGTAGTAGAACGTCTGGAGATCCCAGAGCGTTATTGATTCTGCAATGCGATGTCAAGTTTCCCCTGCCACTCCTCTCGCACCCAGCTCGTAGCAATTTTGGACCAGGCAGATGTCCATCAGGAACACTCAGGCACCGGTGCCCAAGAACTGGCGAGGAACGCCGCTCTTCAAACGCTTCGCAGCCGCCGCAGCGATGTATGAGACGCCCATGCTGGTGAGGGCGGGCTCTGCAGGTACTCAGATGGATAGCTCGGCGCTGGATGGCGAGCTCGAGGCTGTATTGCAGGATGCTGCCGCTGCTGCTTTCCCTGAATCCATGCCCGCGTCCATGCCGCTGGAGACGCAGTGCTATGCAGACGTGCATCTGCCAGCGGAGACTGCGACCCAGGTGGAAGAGGAGGATGCCGACGTGCCAGCGGAGCAGGCGACCCAGGCTGCGATGGAGGAAGACACGGCGGTGCCAGCGGAGAAGGAGGAGACCCAGGCTGCGATGGAGGACGACGGCGTGCCAGAGGAGCAGGAGACCCCGAGGAGCAATGGCACGCTGCGAGATGTAGAGGCTGCGCCTTCGCCAGCCCCGACGGAGCAGACGAGGCACCAGCCAATCGAGATCAAGACGCCCCCGAGGAGGGGCCGCGTGGTGTCCAGGCACGAGATCCAGGACAAGTGCCCATCAGGTACCACGCCAGAGTCCCAGCTCTTCACGTTCGTAGCTGGCGACCACAGCCCATCAGACGCCAGCCTCGCGGAGGCCAAGCGTCTTTCTCAGGAGCAGGCCGTCAAGGATAAGCAGATCGAGGAGCTCGAGGCGAAGCAGCTGGCGGAGGCCCAGGAGCGCTCGAAGCAGCACACGCGCGGGCGCTCAGAGTCGCCCAAACTGCCACCGGGCCAAGAGAGAGGATCAGCTTCCACGGACCCCATGGGCTCTATGTGGGCAGGCGCGAAGGGCGTGGTCGACCTTTCCGATGGAGCCCCGGAGGACGGCTGGGTGCAAAGGGGCGAATAGGGGGAGAGCCGACGATCGAGGCGAGCGATCGGGGATGTCGGGCGGGAGGGCGGGCGGCGCGGGAGCCTGGTTGAACTCGCCCACGTTCGTGGTCCTCGCTGGGGGGCGAACCGAGCTGCCCGCTGCGTCTCTCCCTTACTCGCTCGTCGCTCACTCGCCCGCCTCGCCCCGACCCCCAGGGAATAGCCCAAACGTTGGCGGTGGAACAGCGGTGGAACAGCGGTGGAACAGCGATGGAACAGCGATGAAACAGCGATGGAACAGCGATGGAACAGCGATGGAACAGCGATGGAACAGCGATGGAACAGCGATGGAAACCAGTGGAAATCTAAAAAACTGGTGGCGAGGAGGTGGAGGACGAGGCCAGTGGAAGGAGGAAAGGTGAAGGAATCAGGACAGAGGAGGAAGGGCAGAGGAAGGGCAGGGGAGGAAACACGAGGAGGGAAGGGAAGACGGAGGAGTAGCCGCCCCTCCAGGACATGACGCCGCCCAAGCTGTTCGCGAAGGCGAACGCTATGCAGCAGAAGTACGAGGACTTCTCCTCCTTCTCCCCCTCCTCCTTCTCCTTATCTGTCCTCCTTCTCCTTACCTCCTCCTTCTCCTCATCCTTCTCCTCCTCCTCCTCCTTTGCCCTCCTTCTCCTACTCCTCCTCCTCCTCCTCCTCAGCCTCCCTCCTCCTCCTCCTCCTCCTTCTCCTCCTCCTCCTTCTCCTCCTCCTCCTCCTCAGCCTCCTACTCCTCCTCCTCCTGCTCCTCCTCCTTTCTTTATTTGTTTCGTGTCGAACAAAAACAGGACGACCTGAAGAAGCCTGGGCCGCTCGACGATGACCGCGCCCTCTTGCTGACGAAGGCCCTCGTCGAG